GACTTTTTTCTTCTAAGCATTTGTTAAAGTGAGTTTGTAAATACATCTACGAACTTGAGCTGGATTGTGACCTTTGGGTCAAGGGGTCAAAGGTCAAGGTCAAAGGTCAAGGTCATCAAAGCATTTCATAAAGAAATATAAAAGTAACGGCCATATCAAGTATACAAGTCATTTGATCATTGCACGCGCGCGAAGGTGCAATGCATGAAAGCTATATCATCGTGACTACACTTTTAATGTGTTTCTATTCTTTGAATTTTGAAACGTTTCATAAAAAAAATTACGACTATATCAAGTAAATCGGTCATTTAACGCATTGCGCGCGCACACGTGCATGCAAGTCCTTGCATTCAAGTTTGATAGTAGCATAATGTAAGAATCCGTCATATCTATTCATATTCTAAATTTCATCCTGTTTTGTTGAGAATCAAAAAAGTTATAGGCATTTAAAGTTTAAGCCAATCAGATCGCAGCACACGTGCATGGGCGTGGTTTCTTGAAAACTTTTATATATCATAGTTTAGGACGTATTAAGGTATGATTATGTTTTAAAATTCAAAGTATTTTGTCAAAAAACAAGTAAGATATTGAGATTTTTGTTTCAGCTAATCAGAGCAAAGCGCACGTGCATGCGCGTGCATGCATGTGCATGATGACCGTAACTTCTTATAGGAGTCTATTGTGTCTGTCTATGTTCTAAATCTTATCGTGGTTGGTTGAAAAACAAGGGAGTTACAGCCATTTGAAGTTTAAGCCAATCAGATTGCAGCGCACGTGCATGCGCATGCTTTCATGACAAATGTTATACATCATGTTGTAGGACATCTTAAAGTATGCTTATATTTTAAATTTCATACCATTTCGTCAAAAAACGGAAAAGATATTGAGATTTTTGTTTCAGCCAATCAGAGCGAAGCGCACGTAAATGCGCGTGAGTTCTTGCTAATTTGACAGTGTCACATTATCTACACTATTAATATATCCTTATATAATGAGTTTCAAAGCATTTCATCGGAAAATGTTAAAGTTATGGCTATATTAAATATATTAGTCATTTCAGTCATTTCACGCGCCCGCACGTGCAGGCGTATGCGCGCAAAATGACCTTCGTTCCGCACACCTACACAACACACCTATTAACCCTAAAAAGGTTTTAGCTCAGTTGGGTGAACAGTTTCTGAGAACACTCGCGGACAAAAAAGTACCGGAGAAGAAATAAGAAGAAAAAAGAATAATAATAATAATAACTAGAAAGTCTGCTATTGCAAGCAATAGCATATGTCGCCCCGTACTGGACAAGACTTTTTTTTTTCATTTTTATCATCACTAAAACAATGGTCCATTAGCTAAGCTTGGACAACCATCGAGTCGTATCAGTCCTTTCCGTTGGAAACGGAAGACCTTAATTGGGTACATCCCATTTTATTTTTAGAATCGGTAGGAGAAGAAAGTAGTGCAGGAAAAAATTACAAGTTCCTAAATTTGCAGACTTGCATAAAAGAAATTGGGCAGATGTACTGAACTGAGCCTCATACTTGTTAATTGGCAGTATCTTTCCTACCAAAAAAGCTTGGCAAATGTAATTTTTTAAGAAGATCAGCCGAATTATTTTGTGTATTATAACGCCAGTGAGAACTTCACTTTAGAGGTTCTGCCGGAAAACGAATCTGACATGCCACCTTCAATTCGAGCATTTCTACATTGTACAGGGCTGATGTTTCTTATGAGATGATAAATCATGTGTAAACTTTCTCAGTTTAGCGGAATCGTGAACATTTTCGGCGAGATGAATGTTTTGTTTACAGTAGTGATCAAGGCTTATCGCACCTATAGGAGCGGATCCTAGGATTTATGAATGAATAAAAACTATGAAAATAACGTACAAATTTTCTAATTTATACTTGCACTATCTAATGAAATTAATAATATACAAGTAATAGATATACAAAAAAAAAATGCGAAATGCTAATAAATGCAGTTGACAATCGTTAATTTATATATAGATAAAATAAAATAATTATAAAATCTAGAGACAAGACAGAAGAAGAATGAAGGTTGGCAAACTATGAAATCACATCAGGAGAACTGAATTTTATGAATGAAACTTTTAAAACGTTACTTGTAAGTTGTATATGTTAGATATGTGTATTCTAAATGGCAGTGCGCTTCAAAAGGGGGGGGTCGTCTTGAACATATTACCTTACGTTTGAACGGTCAGGGCTAGGGATTTCGTATTTCAAATATGTAATCCTTGTGAAAAGAACTTTTCTTGGACACGAAGAACTTTGACCCTTTGACCTAGACCTTGGAGAACACATGTGTACATCTTAACCTTTTTTCTGTTTCGTTTCTATGACAACTGTGAGCGACTCATTACAATTATTTTAAAAGTAAAAATCACTTTGACACATTGCAAGGAATTAACATTGAAAGTTTCAAAACGATTGCTTGAGTAGTTATTGAGAAAATCGAAATTAAAGAATTTTAACATTCCCCTGGTTTCCATGGCAATAATCGATTATTTGAAAATTTTAAATGCAAGGCGCACAACTACAGATACTAATCATTAAAATAAAAAGAGTTTCATGACGAACGTTTAAGGGACCAGAGAGAACACTCTCGGACAAAATTCGTCGCTTTTTACAGGTTTCCATGGCAACGGTAGACATATTGGAACTGAACGACCTCACTGCACAACTACAACCAGTGATCGTCCTTTGAGGAAAGTTTCAGGTAGATTGTCCCAGCCATCTCCGAGAAACAGCCTGGATAAAAAAAACATGCGTACAATATCAATATGTCGTCCCCGACTTCGTTCGGGGCGACATAACTAGTGCTAATTGTAACGGGGACCGTTACATATGTTCCCCAAACGCTCCCCAACTCCTTTTTGGTGCCATATTCCCTGTAAGCTTCATTAAATAAGACAAAATTTGTGCATTTTGACTTTAACAACGTTTTCTCAGAAGGATACCAATTATATTCAAATTTTAGCATTGCACCCGTGCGCATGTGAATGCATGTCCGTTATGATCATATCATCTTGTCTACACTATCTACATATTTTAATATACAATATATTAAAGCATTCAGTCCAAAAGTATGAAAAATCACTCTTTCAAGTGTATTTTTCATTTCACTCGTTCCAAATGTACGCACGTGCATGCACGTGCATGATGACCATACCGTCTTGTAGGAGTCCCTTACATCTATCTATATTCTAAATCCCATCCTGTTCTGTTGAAAAACAAGGGAGTTATAGCCATTTCAAGTTTAAGCCAATCAGATTGTAGCACACGTGCATGCGCGTGATTTCATGATTTATTTCTATATCATATTGTAGGATATCCTAATGCATGACAATGTTTAAAATTTCAAAGCATTTCGTCAAAAAACAAAGTAGATATAGCCATTTAAAGTTTCAGCCAATCAGATTTCAGCACGCGGGCATGCGCATGCTTTCATGAGAAATCTTATATATCATGCTGTAGATCTTCATAATGTAGGTCTATGTTCAAAATTTGAAAGAATTATGACAAGAAACAAGAAAGATATTGAGACTTTAGTTTCAGCCAATCAGAGCGAAGCACACGTGCATGCGCGTGCGATCTTGCTATTTTGACCATTTCATCTTGTGCATACTACTAATATATACTTATAAAATGAGTTTCAAAGCATTTCCTCAATAATTTTAATAGTTACGTCTGTATCAATTATATTGGACATTTCTCGTGTTGCACGTGCGAGCTCTTGCAAGCACATGTGCATGCACATGCATTCATGAAAAATCTTATATTACAGGCTGTAGATCTCCCTAATGTATGACTATGTTCAAAATTTCAAATGATTTTATCAAAAAACAAAAAAGATATTGAGACTTTACTTTCAGCCAATCAGAGCGAAGCGCACGTGCATGTGCGTGCGATCTTGCTATTTTGACCATGTCATCATGTCTATGCTACTAATATATCCTCACATTATGAGTTTCAAAGCATTTCATCAAAAAATAGAAAAGTTGCGGCTTTATCCATTGTATTGGTCATTTCACGTGTTGCACGTGCGTGCTCTTGCAAGCACGTGCGCGCAAAATGACCTTGATTCCGCAAATCTACATAACATGTCTACTGACCCTATAAAGGTTTTACCTACATCGGACGAACAGTTAACTAGATCATTCCCGGACAAAAAAGTACCCAGGAAGAAGAAGAAGAAAAATAATAATAATAAGAAACAGAGTAAAAACAATATGTTCCCCAACTTCGTTTGGGGAACATAATAAGAAACAGAGTAAAAACAATATGTTCCCAAACTTCGTTTGGGGAACATAATAATAATAAGAAACAGAGTAAAAACAATATGTTCCCAAACTCCGTTTGGGGAACATAATAAGAGCTTAAGCATAGATGTATCACCCCCCCCCCCCCCCCCCAATAAAAAAAAATCATGGGCATCTGCATGTACATTGAACATTTCTTTCACCCTGAGATTATTTAGTGTATACTTTAAAGGAACATTATTTTCATAATTAAAAAAAAAACAGCAAATAAATTCCCGTTCAGTATATTTTATTGGTTTGTTCCCATTTTCCATTAAATGTAAAATTTGCTATTCCCATTTCTTCGATTCTTAGTACCTTCTTGGATTTATTACGGAGAAATGGGATCTTAATAAGGAGTAAACTTATAATTATGCCTGTAAGTATTGTTTGCATTTCAAAGCAAAATTTCACAGCAATTGTATTTAAACAGGGGAAAATTTATGAATTCTTGTGAAAGGATCAAATTTTATTTTCCAGATTTAATTTAAAATATTTTGTTACCGAAATACGAAATTGTGCAAGCAATATAAATTTAACTTTTATTCTGAAACAATTTATGTATCAGAAATACACATATTCACTGGAGAGAGAGAGAGAGAGAGAGAGAGAGAGAGAGAGAGAGAGAGAGAGAGAGAGAGAAAATGAAATTTTCTTTTGATTAATTACAGAAAAGGTCACTTACATGTTGAGCAATATTGTCTACTCCCTTGTTAATAATTTTCACATCTTTGCTATTTTTTGCAATGAGCTTGGCACTTTCCCTTGGTGACAACACTTCTGGCACACCGTTTTCCATCTCTTTTAAATCCTGTAAAATGTATCTAAAGTTTTATCACAATTCTCGTAGAATATTTTGGTGAGTAAGTTGCAGGTTTTCTGCAGTAAAATCAAAAAAAAAATCCGAATATTAAATTGGTAGACGAGCGGCTGGCAAATGCAGCTCTCTGTCTACAGGTACTTGTGGACTTACCCCCCCCCCCCCCCGCCCCGATATTCAACCTTGGGGCTTATTGGACATTTTTTTCACAAAATAATTTTTTTTTTACACTTATTCATCATGTGTACAATATGAAAAAATCGTTAAAACCCAAAGTAATTGCTCCACAAAAAATAGCCAACTATACATTGTAAGAGAGAAAGATATCCCACTCCAGTTTGTTTACGTTTTACCCCCACTGGTCTTTCTGGGTTTAAAAACATGTATTTATTTTATTTCAACCTAAAATGTCGATCCACACCGTCTAAACATATATTTCTGTCTTAGTCCATGCTATCGGATTGACTCTGCATCTCATAGGAATCCCACAATGTCTCCTTAAACAGTTCATTTCAATCAGAGGTTTGTTTTTTAAAAATGAACTTATTTTTACAAGTACCGATTTTTTTTTCTAAACATTGAAACATGCACATGGCATTTTAGTAAATAAACTTTTCCGTGTAGGTCTAAGCATAATCTTAACAAGTGGCCCAGGGGCCACAACGCTCACCTGAGCACATCAACTACGAAAAAGCACAAATCGGATCAGAATTGAAAAGTTTACTGGGGAGGGGGGGGGGGTGAATTTTAATACTACTTGAGAATGCCTCCATATCAATACTGTAACAACATACAACTTTGCTGTTCTTGAGAAAAAGATTTTCAAAGATTTTTTTAAAAAATTTTGTTCGTATATATATTTCTTCGTAATAATTTGAATTTGATTTCCCGTTGTTTCCCTCCCGACCCCCAAGGGACATGATTTGAACAAAGAACTACGAACGATAGTATTGTTCTCCAGCCTACCTCCAAGTCAATTTTCAAAAGTTAATATAGTTGAATGATTTTCCATATTTATATTCATATTTACATGAATTTCCATAAAACATTACTTATTTTGGGAAGGCAAAAAGAAAGAACCCCATAATTTTGGTAAAACTCGCGTTTTTCACTATTGAAATCAACGAAAAACGGAAAATATTTTTAAGACATCTCCCCCCCCCCCCCCCCCCCCCCCCCCCGAAACAAAAATTCCTTTATACAGGTATAATATAGACTGTCATTTCACAAATTCATACCAAAGCTTTTTGTGTTTCACGGGGGGGGGGGGGGGGGGGGGGGGACATACGTTTACTGACAAAAAAATGACAAAAGTTTCAAATTTTCACCAATTTCAAAGGGGTTAACAACTAAGACATAGTATTTTATTAATGATATATGTTTAATTTCATATGCTTAAAACATAAGAAAAGAGGTTAGGAACATTTATTCACATTCAAAAATATTTTAAAATACGGTAATGGTGTAAAGTCCGGTTTCAACGGAAAATATCGTCTTCCCTCCTTTTTTAAAAAGCTAGAATAAGGGATAATTAACTTTTTTACACGGTATTAATATTATTAATCAATTATAATTGAACAGATCTTTTCATTAAACAAAGATTTTATGGACAAATTGTCATTAATATTGAATTAAATATGTGTAAAATGTAGGCGGGAATCAAGAGTTAGCGCACGTAGTTCTTTAAATCTTCAATACACGAGGATGCTTACATGTCAATATGAATAAACATGCAATCATTTCATTATTCATTTTTTAATAAATTCATGTAAATATCTTGTCATATGTATTACCAAAAATTACGTTATATTATCGCATTTACCTTTAGATCCTTCTGTTAGACTAAAATATCTTATCTCGACAGTTGTGAAGAATTTTGTATCGTTCAATATTGCACAACTACATGCAACGATCTGACGTTTTTCATACAATATGATAAGAAAGTGACCATGCTGACGTACGTAACACAGACACAAAGTGACTCATCAAAAATAAATAACCCCAAGCCTAATGATGTTTTTTGAAAATGTTTTGCATTATTTGTTTTGTTTTTTTAATTCCATTTATTTCTAGCTCAATATACTTCAATATAGATTGTGGAATAGTTAGAAAAACATCACCATGATTAGAGTTTTCTAAGTAGTGTTTTGATTTCCGTTTAAGAACATGAAGAATGTGAGTGTAGATTATATGATTATGCAATTATATATTTATTTTATATATGGATAGATTAGAGAATCTAGATGGTGAATTTCCCTTGCTTAGTGAGGCTTTTAACTGCTCTAAAACACTACACCAAAATGGTTTTACTTCATGGTATTCTTGTGTTAACTTCTTACTTAACCATATTGATATTAAAATTAGTGATTTCCTAGGTATGTCAACCCCACAATTTAAAATCAATTTGAAAAGAATATTACTGAATTTCTATAAATTAACATGGGAAAAAGACAGGAATTTACATAAAGATGGCAAATTGTCTACCTTTACCAGCATAAAGACTAAATTTTGTTTTGAACCTTATCTAGATATTCTTACAAACAATCAACATAGATCAGTTTTAACAAAGTTAAGAATATCGGCTCACAGGCTTAAAATTGAAATTGGACGTTATGTAATAGTTATTGTATATTTATTATGGTGTATCCTGAGTTATTTGGACGAGGGGCGGTGACGAGTGCGAAGCACGAGTCTCCGCCCTTCGTCCAAATAACTCAGGATACACCATAATAAATATTCAATAACTTTCTTGTATCATGGCCAATCAAACGTCATGTCACAGATTTTCAGCATGATTTTTAATTACACCAATAGAAAATGTAGTTTTTGTCAGGTGACCGCATAGATAATCTCTCCTTTCTGTCAGTATTTTTGATAAACATTTTACGTGCGTGTGTTCATGAGAAAGGACGTCGGATTGCAGTATCCCAACACCCCCCCCCCCTCCTGGATTTTAGAGTGTGGTGCAAGGGGTTTTTTCCTTGTCAACTTTCTTTTAAATGTAGCTACGGACTTAAAGTGGCCGAGGTGTGATTCTGTGCATGAGTGCTGGGGGCACAGACCTGGAGCGTCCCCCCTTTCAAAAATTGCTGGTTCCGTCCCTGAATTGTTAATGAAATTCACAAGAAAACCTTTGGATATCAAAGAAGACAAAAAAGTTGAAGAAGGTAAATTCAAAATCAAGAAAAAAGATACCCGTTGATCATTTGACATATTCGAGCTGTTGTATTCACGAAAACGCTGTGTCAGGGTCAATTACTCTTCATCTGTGGATGCAGTACAGCGTATGCCCTATATTACAATAGGTGGGATATTTCAATATATTTCTGTGTGGAATTCATGTCAAGAAATTGATCTCTCGTTGCTGTGGATTGAATATTTGAAGAGCTCCGTAAAATCATTTCGTAGTTTGGGATATATACGTACTGTAATTTATGTGAAAGACTTTTATTTCACTTGCAGAAATTTTGCATTTGTGTATTACAATGCCCATTCATTCTGTAATTCAGATTCAATATACATGTAATTTAAAATGATGAAATCGCCTTGGTGTTCAATAATTTATTTACACGGCACAGTTTTTGCTGGCTCCGCCCATATACACGGCACAGTTTTTTTTTCTGGATACGCCCATCGGTGTATCTCCAGTTATTGTACACTTGACTTCAAAGGAAAAACACCGCAGCCATGATACAACAAAAAATACCTAGAGAGGAACGAATTTGTTCACTTTGTCACTACAATGAGATTCAGGATGAAATTCATTTTCTCCTTGTATGTCCTCATCTTAATGTACAAAGACTTGAACTCATAAATATTTGTAAAATTAAATGTAAAAATTTTCAGTCTCTATCTTATGATAATCAATTTTATTGGCTCATGACTAATGAAGACCCAGACATCCTTAGATCACTTGCTGGATTCCTTAGTAATTTACCTTAATTGAAGATATTGTGATAAGCATAAAAAAAATTATATATCTCTTTCCCAGTTTCTTGCCTTTAACTATATATATATATGTATAAATTATATATATTTGTATGTAACTTAGAATACGATACATGTATGTATATTCAGTATATCTCTTATATACTTTTTTTTGGTTTTTTTTAACAATTGCTCCTTATTTGTAATATCATCATCATGCTTGTTCTATCATTTGGATCCTCCTCCTTCTATTTGTAAATCTTTTTGCTCCTCCGGGGGCCCAAATTGGATTAATAAAATCTTGTATCTTGTATCTTGTATATGAACGCAAGGCCGTCGAAGCAAACAGATGTAGTCGTTGGAATGTTGGATATCAATTAAAATAAAATCACGAAGACGAGGTTGCAATACAACACATTAAGTCTTTGTACTAAAGTGTTACAAAGAAATGCGTATAAGTTAAATACGAGAAGAAGGCGTATTCACTTTCGATCTTTGATCCGCTCAGATTAAATCGCTGCACAAATGTTGTGTAGCGATCTAGTTGGTGCGAATCAAAGATCGAATTTCAATAACAGATTGATCCACTCTGTTCTATATTTCACCTTTGTATCATGGCTGCGGTGTTTTTCCTTTGAAGTCAAGTGTACAATAACTGGAGATACACCGATGGGCGGAGCCAGCCAAAACTGTGCCATGTAAATAAATTATTGAACACCAAGGCGATTTCATCATTTTAATTTACATGTATATTGAATCTGAATTACAGAATGAATGGGCTTTGTAATATACAAATGCAAAATTTCTGCAAGTGAAATAAAAGTCTTTCACATAAATTACAGTACGTATATATCCCTAAGTGAACTACGAAATGATTTTACGGATCTCTTCAAATATTCAATCCACAGTAACTAGAAATCAAATTCTTGACATGAATTCCAGACAGAAATATATTAAAATATCCCATCTATTGTAATATAGGCCTTAAGCTGTACTGCATCCACAGATGAAGAGTAATTGACCCTGACACAGCGTTTTCGTGAATACGACAGCTCTCGAATATGTCAAATGATCAACGGGTATTTTTTTTTCTTGATTTTAGAATAACACTTGAATTTACCTTCTTCAACTTCGAATTTTTCTTCTTTGATATCCAAAGGTTTTCTTGTGAATTTCATTAACAATCCAGGGGCGGATCGATATCCAGCAATTTTTGAAAGGGGGGGGGGGCTCCAGGTCGGTGCCTCCAGCACTCATTCATAGAATCACACCTCCAGAATCACAACTCGGCCACTTTAAGTCCGTAGCTACATTTAAAAGAAAGGGGGCCTCCAAAACAGTTGACAAGGAAATCCGGGAGGGGGGGGGGGGCTGGGATGCTGCAATCCGACGTCCTTTCTCATGAACACACGCACGTAAAATGTTTATTAAAATACTGACAGGAAGGAGAGATTATCCATGCGGTCACCTGACAAAAACTATATTTTCTGTTGGTGTAATTAAAAATCATGCTGAAAATCTGTGACATGACGGTTGATTGGCCATGATACAAGAAAGTTATTGAATATTTATTATGGTGTATCCTGATTGATTTGGACGAAGGGCGGAGACTCGTGCTTCGCACTCGTCACCGCCCTTCGTCCAAATAACTCAGGATACACCATAATAAATATACAATAACTATTACTTATACACGTTTTATCCACTTTATGCAAACGGACAAAAATCTAGATGCTCCAGCCTGTGATTAGGTTTGTGGATTTACCAACATATTAAGTCAATACAAAATCTTGAAGAACATCAAACTTATTTGATATTAGATCAGGGAAAAGTTAGCAGTCGAATGTTATCAGATAAACAACAGTAGACTGCTACTACTCACCAAATAACCCAAGAATTTCAAATACTCCACGTGTTGTGAAAGGGACAGTGTTTATATTCAAGAATTATTTGAAACACGATCCCGACTCATTCATGAATATATGTTAATACCCCTTGCTGTTAACGGAACTGGTTTTAATTTTATACTCCAATTTTAAAAATTATTGTAACTTTTTTTCTCAGATGATCATTGACAATGTAGGATTATGTCATTGTGCATACAAGAATTTAGTCTATCATATACATATGTTATATTTCATCATGTTCATTAATGGAAGTTAACACTTTGCACTCTACCTGCCCCATTTGATCTTTATGTCATTTTATACCATTTTATACAAACTGACACAAACTTCTCTATTGGTTGTATGGACCAACACTTTATAGTATTTTTCATACAAATGACTTGAGACCTATCGATTTTAAGACCTAATTAAAATTAGATCTTTGATAAGCCCCAACCAGATCGCTACACAAAGTACTACACATATTAGATGGTTCCACATCTTTACAATTATTTTTTCTTACAAATTTTGCAAAGACTTATTGTAAAAATTGATAATCCCAAAGTTGTGGTATATAATTATCTTCAAAAGATTGTTTTGTATAATTTATGCGGTCGACCATGACAAAAATGTGTTTTTGTTAACCTTAGATGTAACTTCAAATAGTTTTAAAGGAAAAATGAAATGTAAACAGTATAGTGCATTGTAATTTGGAAATTACTCAAGGTTTACAGGGTTAAAGGTATTAAAAAAAATTTCTAAAGGACGGGGGCAGATTTAACATAAATTTCTTTCATGTTTTCCAGTGAAAACCTATGGAATTCCATACATGTATACGACAGCCAACTACTTACTGCCAACTGCCACACAAACTTGAATAAATTTTATTTTTATATTGATATTTATGTGAATTTTCACAAAAAAGAGAAGAAGGAAAAACTGGCGAGGATCCAGGACATTTTTTTCCAAGAGGGTCACCCTGGTAAAATTAAATAGATTAAATGACCAATATTTTTTTTATCTTATGTTATATTCAATATATGCGATTGATAAAGTACATTGTTTATTTTATTTATTTGTTTTCCTATTTGAAATAGGTAATAACCCCCCCCCCCCAACCCCGGAGACAACAAAAACTTCTGAAGAGAGAAAAATAAAAGAAAAAATATCTGTCGTTTCGCATAGAAAGATATTTTGAAAATGAATTAACATTTTTCCATTATATTCTATATAGTTAAAAAATTTCCTCAAATTAAAGGTATATATCTCTGTGTGTAATAATGTTTCACATGCATAGATTTTTTTTTAGGGGGGGGGGGCATTTAAAATTTGTACAGTCATGGGCTAATGTATGAACTAAAGAAACTAAAACTGACCTTGGACCCTCCAAGAAAACGCCGATCAAACATTTATATCTCTTTGTTTAATTTACAAATGAGATATGTTTTATGTTTTACATGCATAAATCTAGAGAGAGGAGTCCGGACCACTCCTCTGAAATTTGTTAAGTTATTTAATGCACAAACTAAACTAACTAAAAGTTATTCATTGCATGTATTAAAAAAATCAACTAAAAGGGACCTTACCCCCACCCCCACCCCCACCCCCCGAAAACGCGGATTCGTGTTAAGTTGGTATAAAAATGTCATAGACATGAATTTATGACGCATAAGACACCCCCTCTCCCCAGCCGAAATAAATTTTCACATTTAGGGAAGGACTTTACGTTTTTTTT